TGGGTATTTACCAGTGAAGTATAGAGTCGTCCCTCACTATATCACCATTCACCTATTGCAGCTTCACTGTATTGCTGGTTTTAAAAAGCCTGAGATACAGTGAAGCTCCAATAAGTGAACCACGATATAGGGAGGGATGAATGTAAATATAATAGCCTACAAGAAGGTAATGATGACTTCATTAACATAATAAATACATCAGCTACCTAATACATGAGCTTTATTGCTTTATACTTGTGTACTGGGAAAACTTTGGTAATAATTATTCCTGTGCAGTCTCATGTCTTACATCTCACACCAAAGAGTGGCAGATCTACAATGAGAGGGATTTAGAGAAGGTGCCAAGGCTATATGCTTATGAATGTCAGATGTTTAGGGATTAATAAGGACCAATATCCAGAAGGAACACAAGACTTCTATTGTTCTCTCCACTACAAAAGCCTATTCAAAAACAGAGATCTTTCTGGTGAGCAGGAGATAAAGTTAAGCAAAGTAAAAAGACTTGATGGTCCTCCAGTGAGTGTTAGTTCATCAGTTTCCTGGTCCATCTGACACACCTTGAGGCCTTTTGGCCTTTTCTCCCTAGGAGTTTCTCCAGAAACCTTAAACCAATTCTGTCAACTTTCCATGGTGTCCCAACATATTGTCTTTCTTCTCCAGGGTCAGAACACAGAACACTTGCTTATTTTTATCATCCTAAGTGGCACCTGTGTGTGCAGGGGACTCACACTCCCATGATTTGGAGGTCAAAGGTTAGTGGGTTCACGTGTGGGCTGATGTACACTGAGGAGCACAGACCTCAAGGATGGCCAGCACAGCTGCCCCATGTGGAGAGGGTGAGGAAGAGCTGAGTGAAGAGGTGGCCTTCATGGCTTTCAGGCAGTTCTTCCATGGAATGGCTTGTGTGACATCAGGTCCCCAGATAGAACACATGTACTGTGACAGATCCTCACCTTGGCCTGGTAACCTCAGCTTCTGCTAGAAAGAGCTCAGGATGGAAGGAGACTACTTGACACCCGACCATCTTCTCCTAGAGAAGAGGATCACTTGGTTGCACCTGGAAGTCTCCTGGTCCCAAGACAGATCACATGAGCAGAGCCTCAAGCACCTTTTTTGCACACAGCCTGGGTGCAAAGGGTAGTCACTATGACACTGAGAGGGCTTCAAGCCACCTTTGGGTGGTTGTTTTTTGTAATTTACTCAGTCTTTACCTTGTCACTGGATCCGTGTGACCTTCCAGAGCTCTGGGATTGGGGCAGAGTATGTGATTGTAATTTGATGTGTAAGACTTTGTGTATCGGTTGGATAACATTCCTCATAAGATGAGATATGTGGCTACAACACAGAAAAAACATATAGCCATCCTAGGACAATGGAGTTGCAGCAAGAGTTGCTAAACAAGAGGAACAGAGCAATCTCTGATGCCCCGGCACTTTCCTGGTCATGGGTCCCCCTTGGCAGCTTACCACTTGTAGCAAGAGGTCAGATCATGGTTAGAGGACCAAGGGCTGCAGGCAGGGGCCAGCAGGAGAGAGAAGGTGAGGTGCAACTACCCACACATGTCCTTGACCCATCACGGCGTACATCTCAGGGGCTCTTCAGTACAGAAGTCAGGGGAGGAAGTGGTAACATGCCTTCTGGAGTTTGTCAGAAGAGGAACATGAGTGATATGGGAACTGTCTCAGATCCTTGCAGCCTTGGGTAAAGCCTAAACATGCATCTTTCCATTTTTGATACTTATGAATGTAAAGTGTTATTGATAAATGCATTTCTTTTTGAGTAGTGTGACGTCTACTTTTTATGTTGTATACCCCTGGATGACATCATGTATTAGTGAAAATGAGTCTTGTTTAGTCATTGTTCATCCTTAGAGGTCTTGAATCTGAAACCACATGTCACTTGATTGTGCACGTGTGAAAAGGATAAATCTGTAGCACTGATGTCACTGGAGTCCAAGTATTCCTTTGGAGAATGGGCCAAGACTGATAGTGGGATCTGCCACTCACAATTATTTTTAGTTGTTTATCAGTCATGGCATGTGAGGTCCTTCTCTGATGTTATTCAAAGCCAGGACACAGAGACCCCTCTCTGTAGAAATAAAGTGTCTCCTGCAAAATACTGCTTCACTGAGCTCTTTGGAGTCTGGAGTTGCACATGCAGAGTCAATGTCATGTGGGATGTGACAGATGACCTGTACACCATGCATCTTGGTAAAAGGGAACAAGGATGTTCATGCAATGGAGGTGGCACATGACAACCAGTGCCACCAGATGATAGATGAATTGTGTCTTAAAGTACACGTGGACATCATGATGCATAAGTGATGATGTCTCCAATGTTTCCATCCCCCCACGTTCCTGTTCCCCAGTCAGACACAGAGAGCTGAAGGAGCCCTGGCTTTCAACCACTGCTGAAGGACCCATGTCACCAGTGCATCCTGCTGAGGACCTTGTGCTAGGAATTCCGTGTGTCTTGGGATAAATAGTACCTACCCCACCCTCCACCCTCCTATACTCTTAGTTCCAAAACACTGTATTTAGGATTAGACAATAACAGTAACTTAGATGTGATCATAAAACAGGATATGAAGTGATTGAAAAGTAATGATTTTATTTCAACTAAAAAGACATCCCACTGGAACTAGAGCCAAATTCAGAAGCACAATCAGTTGACATTGAGAATAAATCAACATTGCTCCTTGGCAAAGTCCATTATATTCAGTCTGATATTTGTCTTTAGGGGAAAAGGCGGTTTATTCTGTTTGACTTAGGACTTACATTTTCCCTTTTTGTTGCATAATTGGAACAGCTGACTTTTACTAGCAGTTACTGTGCTGAGCATTGTTCCTGAATTAATTTATTTATCCTTACACAAATTCTTTGCTCTTAGCCTTATTGTACAGATGAGGAAACTGAGGCTGAGAGGGTCAGCACCTTGCTGAAGACTCCAGAAGAAGAATGATCCAGAGCTGAGTTTGAACCAAGGTAGGCCCTAAAATTATGCTCTACCTCACAACTCAGTAAGGGAACACATTGTAAATTTGACAGATCCAAAGAGCACAGTTGAATTCAAAACAGTGTGTTAAACTGACCCATTAGGATTCTAATGTGGGCAGGACTGAAACTCTACAGTAATCTCAAAATAGTTGATTTTACATTTTCTTATATTTCTCTAGGAGCAAGATGTGTCCCTTGGTGTTTTCAGATTCCCTGTTATATCTGTGAGGAAATTTTCACAACTTTATCTTTCAAGGTGTGCCTGTTTGAACTGTGTGAAACTCATTGTATTCTAGTAGCTGCTGGAGTTCCTGTTTCCAGTGGTGCCCTTATGTCCAATGTGTCACATGGTGACACAGGTTTATGGGAAGAGAGGATGGTTCGAAGGCTGTGCTGCATTCAGCTGCATCAGGAACTTTCATCCATTTTCACAGTTTTTCTCAGGAGGTTATCGTCAATTTCTTGGAGAGGCGATCCACTATCTACACACCATGACCAATTCATTGATTCATTTGTTGTCTGACATGTCCACTTGTTTGAAGAAAATGACACCAATAGGATGTTGGCCTTCATTCTTTACTAATGTTTAGTTCTAGGGCAGTTTCAGGTTCATAGAAGATGGAGCAGAAATCACACAGCAATCCCATCTACCCCTCATTTCTAGATAGGCACAGCCTTCCCTATGGTCACCATCACACTCCTGGTGGCACCTTTGTCCCCGCAGAGTGCAATTGCTGGGCCGTGGGGGTCAGAGGATGTTAGTTTACAAGAAACGGCCACACTGTCCTAGAGAGTGGAAGCACCATTTGGCATTCCCAGCATCCAAGAGCAGTAGTCCTTGTTGCCCCACAGAGGAAAGCACTGGGGCAAGTGGAGTGGTGTTGCCTCAGCAACCCCTGCCTGCCCAGGGTGGCCAGGCACAGCACGTCCTCTGCCTGACCTGACCCAGCCTATCTCCAGTCAAAAAGCTGTCTCTGTCCCACTGTGCACTAGTGCTTCAGGGTAACATGCAGGGGTTCCTGTGTTCCCTACCAGCCACCTTGTTCATGGTGTCTGGTCTTCCCTTGAGCTGTTCCCAGTGCATCTGTCCTCCTAACAGCACTTCATGTCAAACTCTGTCTCTCCTGAGAGGATCTCAAGCACGCTCCTCTGTACCCAAAGTGTTTCCTAATGCCTTTCCTCACATGGGTGTGTGTCCCAAGGTCTTCCTTGGGGTGCCTGAGTGAGGGCGGGGACAGGAGGAGGACAGGCCCTGTGTGCACTGCTACTGTTGGGACCCTGAGGACCCAGCAGGTGCTACCCTCACAACAGACAAGGGAACTGCCAGTTGGGAAAGTTTCCTGCTTGATTCGATAGAACCATCGCTATGCTATGTTTCAACCATTAGATGAGAGTCAGAGGGTGGGAGATGGTGAAGTAGTCTTCCTGTTGGCACAGTGATCTCTGGAGATCTGGACACCACTGATATCTTCACAACTGTCTACATACCACTGATCTTTCTCCCTCAACTGCACAGAGTGACCCTGACTCTGCATGCACCCTATTCCACTAAGATGCACCAGAAGCAAACGTTCCAGAACTATGTTCCCATCCTCTTCTCTGTGTCACATGCTTGGCTGAGACCGATGAGCAAAACCAGTCACTGCCCACAATTAAGGAGCTAAATTCTAAGGAGACTCCCATCAATGAACTGATTGTACATTTCTGAAACCCCAGTTAAGGAGCTGAATCCTGGTGGGTGCGTGCTAGTCAAGTGATCATAGATTTGTAAAACTTCAGCTTCAGTTTTTACCACAAAGGAGATGTGCATGGTGCCAGTACTGTCTGTGGTTGACAAAGTCACCTGGGCTGTGACCATGATGGTTGGCAAGAGGCTTCAGTGAGGAAGGGAGGGCTGGAAGCCAGGCCTTGTGTTCTGCCATGTTCCAGTGGGCAGGACCTGTGAGGCTGACTAGGTACAAATAGCCCTGGGCTCCCCAGACTGCTGAGTCCTGCTGCTAACTGCTCATTGTTTGCTAAAGCTGAACTCAAAGCAACATCGACCATGAGACTGTCCCTGTGTGTCCTGCTGGTCACTCTGGCCCTTTGCAGCTATGAGGGTGAGTATCACGCCTAATCAGACTACCACCAGCTCTGGTAAGTATCCTTCTCTAAAGCAGGTAACTTCTTTGGGGGGGAGGGGGTGAATGAACCAGAATCCAAATGAGCTCCACTACTTGTGCACTAGGCGACAGAATGCCACAGTCTCCTGCATCAATTGCCAACACACTGGAACTTTCCAGAAATCACTTCCCGGTCACTTTGAAGAGCTTCTCATCTGAAACCTCAATCCCCATCTAGGGTCTATGTTCAGAAGCAGCAGGATGTGATCAGATTTGATTCTGCATCACGGTTCTGCCACTCAGCAGAGCTGTCACTTGAACAAAATGCTCAACATCCCAAGTCTCCACTCACCCTTGGTTTCCACAGCAACCAGCAGGAGCAGCTGTGATAGTGGAGTAAGATGAAGGGTGTCAGAGGCTACTCTGGGTCTCATCAGCTTTTCTCCTTCCCAGAGTCTTTGGTGCCAGTTGAGTCCACAGCTCTCAAACTCTGCCTTTTAGACTTGTAAAATGTTCAAGATGAGAGGGTTTTAGGAGATTTCTCAGTTCAAGAAGAGCCAGTGTTGTCTGGCTCTCTCAGGAATCAGTCAGGAGCAGCCGCACTCAACATATCTACACATCCTGCTCCTTTTCCAGGAGTCCCCCCAGGATGGGAAGTACCAGTACTATCTTAGGGCCGCACTGGCTGTGAGTCTAAGTGACTGTAGCCACTCATCTGAGAATATTTAGTTGTGTGGTCATGCCCTCAACTCTGACCCAAGTGCTTTGGACTTTTTCCCTTTCTTCTGACTTTCTGAACTCCTCCTCTTTCCCCATGTTTCCTCTGATCTGACCTGTCCCCATCTCTGCATACTTGCTGTCTGATCAGGTCACATGGAAGCCTAGCAGGACACATGCCCTGCTGCAGGTGGTTGTAAAGAAATGGGGGCAGAGTGTGGGGTGGGGATGGAGAATCCAGACCCGTAAGAGTGGTGACTTCTCTTCTGTGCAAAATCCCCTTGGAGCCAAAAGCAGGCACCTATTTCCAACCCCACCATCTCAAAGGGATTCTGTATCCAGTGCAGACCAAAAGAGCTAGTCATGGTTCATGTGTAAGCCTCAGATTCCTTTCTAAGCTTTCTGGCTGTTTACACCTAATGACATAATTCTACTGTTTAATTTACTCTCAAAAGAGCATCTTCCAACATTCTGTCATTGTCCCTGCTCCTGTCCAGATTTGGTCTCTGTTCTCTGACCTCTGTGAGATCGTCCTCTCCCACTCTGCTGGAAAGACTGATCACTAAGAGCTCCTCTCCCCTGATGTCCGAGATCAAAGAATGTGTTAGTGTTATGACAGGCCAAACCCTAATTTCTGAAATCTAGGAAAAGTGAATTTCACCAAAGCAGGAGAGTCTTGGAAAGGCCTTTGTGTACTTTACATAGGAGAACCACTGAACTGGGGCTCAGTGAACCTGTTTTCCAGGACCAGTCTTGCAGCTGCTATGTGATTTGTGTAGTTACAACTTCTAGGATTTTTCATTGAATTTGGCACCATTATGGGATGGGACCATAAAACCCCCTGGCATTCCTATCTAGGGTCAGGGGACCATAGGGAAAAAAAGTGACTTCCTTAAATCAAATGTGTTTCTTCTTCTCTCCAGCAAATGCAAAAGTCTGTCCAGCTTTTGTATCTGAATTGAGGAGCTTCTTTTTGTATCCTGAAAAGCTCTACAACATCAATCTTCTGAGATTTCTTGCACCTAGAGAATATCGTGAAGCCAAGGTGAAAGTGAAGCAATGCATAGATCTTATGCCCAAAGGAGACAGACAAAACATTTTCAATGTTTTGGTAAATTGTTCCTCTTTCCTCTGTAGGGACTTCTGCTCAGCTTCAAAGCCAGGAGGGTGCTACACTGTGGGCAGAGGGCTGGAAGTATCTGTCCCTCTTTTTACCTCTGACAGAGTGGCCTGTGGCCACAGGGTGGATGATGACATGACATCTGCTGAGCTAGACTAAGGCTGCATAGTAGGTTTAGCATGTTCCTTCTTCTCAGGTCACCTCTTTGGGCATGTCTACCCACAGTGTCCTGGGGAGAACAACCAGGACCCAGGTAGTGATGAAGGGGAGAGACTGCTGCCTCCCTGCCTGGGAGGCTTCAGAGGTTGGAGGGCCAATTCCCTCACCCAGTGGCTCAGTCCCTGGAGAGTGTCATGAATTTTGGGATGAGTTAGAGGGGGGAGAGAGAGGCTGATTATGGGGGATGGCCCAGACCATGGGTCTGCATGGAGAGATGCCTGGCTGGGGGCTCCATCAAATTTCGCAGACAGAGCCGCTCCCTGTCTCTCTGCCCCACTTTCCCAGCCCTCACCAATCATGGCCAGTGGCCAGAGACCCCCCACCCTGTTAAGTCTTCTGCAGCCTCTCAGGGAGCTGAAACACTTCTGTTTTGTGTGTGTGGTGGGCGGTGGGGAAGAAATCAGATATTTACAATAGTTTCCCAGCTTGTCCACCCCTTGGTGAAGTTGGGTTTGGTACAAATTCCCACATAGGCTGGATACTCAGTGTGGAGATGTCCATAGGCTGACAGGTTGATTTCCTCAAGGACACAGGACATCTCCTGCAGACAGAATGTCCTACAAGTCATTCCCCCTGACCTTATTTCACTCGACCTATTTTCACTTTGGAGTGAAAACATAGAGTCCTCAGACCTGGACTATGATGAAGGATATCCTGGTCTGCTTGGACCAACCCTTGACCCTCTCCTGGCTCCATTAGAGACTCGAGTCCGACACCTGGTCACTCAGGGTTTATTTGTTAGGTTATGGACATGTTCTTCCTTGTCCTGCATGGTTTGTCCTGGCTGCACCAGGACTATTGCATACCCGGACTGCTTGGCTCTCCTGCCTGATTGCTCCATGTGCCTTTGCTGGGTGTGATTTCCTTCACATGTTGGTGTGAACGGAAGTCCCTGTGAAGTGGCATATCCAGGGGCAGCATGACTGACATCCCCTGTTTCTCTTTCTCTATTTCAGAAAGGTGTAGTGTCCCAATGTAACAACTAGACTTTAAATATCTTACGCACGAGAGCCTCTGTCATTCAAGGATGGCTTGATCACCCCTGGAAAATGTGAAGGTTTCAACGTCTTGCTTCAATAAAGTACTTGCCCTGCACTTCTCTCCCTGTCTTGTTTTTGTCCAAGAGTCTGTCCCTGGAGTTGGGGTGGTTCTTGTCATAAAATGGCCATTAGGTGGTGTCCAGAGAACATTCTAGAGACACATCATCCAGGACCACGGTGGCCTGAGGGAGGGATCCCACAGAGACTGCTGGCTCAGGAGCCATCCTACATCCCTGCATAGATGCCCAGTCACAGGGCCAGGAGAGAAAACAGGGAAAGGGGGTTGAAGGCACTCCAAAAGGTCCTGCCCCTGGGTTTTGCTGTGGGAACCACAGCCAACCTGGCAGTCACACGGTCCCCACACAGCAGCCCCACTGCCGTTCCATCGCCATCAGAAGCACAAACAGCCTGCCTGGTCCTCGCCCTCACTGGTTTTCCATGCTGGGAGGGTGCAGGGTAATTTGTTTTCTGTCCACTTTTCACTTTGTAGAGAATCTTGGGGCTCAGCCTTCAGGGAACTCTTTGCTCTCTGCACACTCACATTGCTCACCACACTTGGCAACTCCTCCTCTCTCCAATACCCCCTAAAGCCCCAGAAACAAGCACCCTGCTTCCACCTGGGCAATGTCATGCACACAGTCCACACTTACTGCAAAAAGAACGATCCAATGTACAGTGTCTATGCCCATCCTCCCCTTCCCCTGGGTGCCCCTCCCAGGTGATGGGCTGCCCTCCTTGGAGGCAGCTGACTCAGAGCACTGGGCATACCCTAGGCTCTGGGATCAGTTTCCAGTCCCTGCTGCAACACAGCACTACAAACTTGGTGGCTTTACAGAGGTATTTTCTCCAGGTGTAGGGGACAAAAGTATAACATGTGGAATGTCTGCCAGAATCACAGCATCAGGAGGGCCACACTGGCCCTAGAGAGGTGAGGAGAAAATTCATTCCTGGCTGCTTTCACCTTTAAAGGCTGATGGCAGTCCAGGTCCGGTGCCCACATTGGTCCCATGTCTGTCCTGGGAGTGGACCTTGCCTCTCCTTTATGTGTGTTTGCAAATCTCTCTCTGCCTCTTTGTTTACAATACATGGGATGACATTTGGAGGCCACCAGGAAATTCAGAATTTCTCCCCTAACTCACAATCTCCACCCACATTACATGTGCAAAGCTCCTTGTGCCATGGTGGATAAACAAGTGGCCCCAAATTTAGGGTATGTTTTTGGCAGGAGGTGATGGGTGGGGCAGGGCTTTATGCACCTACTTGAGCTCATCTGCTTCCTGATACCTCAGAGTACACTAATATCTGCCTTCTCCATGTCCCAGCATCCATCAGACATGTTGGCCTTCCCAGACATGTTGGACAGTTGCACAGCCATGTTCACTGTCCAGTCCCAGGCCTTTTTTATTACTGGGCCCAAGTCCCCTAAACAGCCTCTGGGTCTGAGAGGCCCCTCTTGTGATATGCTCCCTCCCTATGGACCCCACTGTGACCCTCCAAGTGGGATTCCATCCTTACTTCTACAACTCAAAACACTAGAGGTCATGGGTTTCTAAATATTTCAAGTAAGAGTACTTATTGTTAGTACTCTAATAATATACTCTAATAATAGTACTCTAATTATGAAGGTTGTGCGAAGGACAAGCTATAATTCAGAAACCAAAAATGAAGAGTTAATTATCCACTATTACTCATTATGTCCCAAGTTTTTACACTCAATGTGTGTTTTGATCACTTCAGGGAACATATATACTTACATTAGTCTCTGTTTTCTGAAATGCATTGCATACTCAGTCTGCATACTGTGGTTGGTAAATGCAAGCACTTGTGTTGCCCTTGGTACAGCCTGAGAATCACAGACCAGGGGCCATGCAGGGAGCATGGAGGACCATGGTTAGTGTTGCACACAAGGCCTTGCATGACCCTGAGCCTGGGCCCTCTGACCACATCATCCTGCTCACCAAGGCTCTCTACTCAGCCATCCTTGTCCAGGTCATCCCTCCTGTGTTACATTGGGTCACACCTCCACACAGGGCTGGTGGTGGTCCCTGTGCTCTGTATTGTCCCCAGCACAGGACATACGACTACCTCAACTCTGAGGCCCCTTTCACGTCCCCTGCTCAGTGAGACCTCTTCTAACTCTCACATCCTACATTAAATCTTTACACACAGACACACAAGTTACACTCATGAACACACAGATGGTGCCCATGGTTGCACACACAGCCCACCTGTAGACATGCAGTCACACCCACACACACACACAGAATGGCACTGGCATCCCACTGGTAGCACTTTACTTTTCTGTGGTATGGTATTCACACCACAAAGTTCATGGGAGACCATACTGACTGAACTGACAATATGAAAGGACCAATGTTCTCATTGCTAAAACACGTAAGAGTTCACATGCATTGAATAGCTGTATGGGTGACATTGTCCTGGAAGGCTGACATTTTCAGTCTCATTTTGCCCTGACTTGTCTCCAGGAAGGTAATAGACTTTTACCACCATGGCCAGGGGGATGAAGGATGTCCTACCCACTGCCTGTGAAGAACTGCCCTTGTGTCTTCTCAGAATGAACTGGGAAGACACCAAAAGACAGTGAGGCCCAAGCCCTACTCCAGGACCCACATGTGGGGACATCTACAGTAGAACCCATGTGGTCCCCCTTCCTCACTTCCTTGTTCTACTGGTCTATCACGCAGCGGAGTGACTTTGGTGGCTGAAAACCCCACTGATCTGGGGAGGACAGCAAGGCGGTGCATGGCAGTCAGAGCACCCAGCCTCATGAGCCATCACCTGGAAACCTTCCCCTGGCCTTTTTTTCTAGCCCTGTGAGCCTAGCTTCCACAGGTCATTGGGACGTTTCCCTTTTGTCACACTGAGAGACTTAGGGTGTCGTGAAGAAACTTTTAGGTCAGAACTTGCTGGGCAGGTGGGGCATGAGAGATTGCTCCACACCAGTGCCAGGGTGGAGGAGATGTGAGAGAGGGATCGCTCCAAGGGAGACACACTGAGCCGACCACGCTGCCACTGGAGATGGTGAAAGAACCGACTGGGAGTATGTCCAGGGGCAGTGCACATACACTCAGATGAGGGTGAAAAGCCCACCTGTGGTCTCTGTATTTTACCAAACACACAGGAGACGGTCCCACAGACTGTAGCTCTCTGAGAGGCAGCAGAGAGTTGACCGTGAATGGGAACAGGGGCTGTGTGTCAATTCCCGCTGAACACCCTGGCTCAGCGTTGCAGACATGTCATGTCTAATCCTGTCAGATGCCAACTGTCTGTTAGATTTGCCTCTTGGGTTTCCCTTCTTGGAAGAGAGCACAGATTTTTAGGAAGTCTGGCTCAAACCCATTCACTGAGTCTCTCCAGGTACAAAAAAGAACTTCTGCTGAGTTTTTTGCCTTGATATCTGAAGCCTCTAACTGTGCCTCAGGACACACATTATTCTCTCTGAAAAACTCTGCTCCTCAAACCATCTTACACTCTGTGACAGGGTCAGTGTTCAGAACCCAAAGCCCTGCTTTGTCATATAAGCTTACTTAATGCAAATGTTCAGTGGCTCTCCACTCTGATGACTTGAGACTCATGACTCCACTCAGAAATTAGTGTATTCAGGCCTGTGTGATCTTCAAACTTCACCTTGGGTCCAAGCAAACGCTACTTCTTCCACTCTCTACTTCCACCTTCGCTCTCCCATATGCTAACCTTCCTTTCTGACATATTAGGGCATTAAGATGGGAAGAGACAAGAAGACAAGCAAGAACTTTCCCAACCTTTATAGAAGAAAAAGCAAGGATGGTAAATCTCTCCAACACAGTCAGTTTTCTGGGATACTTTCTCTGCAAGTGAGTTTGATTTCCAAAAACGTCCCAGGGTGCATGTGGTTCCCAATTGTTCTGGGTCAGTGGGAGTCTGGAATCCTAAATTGTTCACCTTCCATCTTTCCCCAGGCTCTGGTCTGTCTTTGGATCAGCAGCAATTGCCTGAACAGCTACAATGGCTGCAGTAATTCTGGTCTGCATCTCTCTGAGCTCTTCTATGTGCAGCAATTGCAGAATTTGAGCAGCTTCATCAAGAACTGCATCTCCTGTGTCAAACCAAGGCTGTGCTCCTCTAAAGCAACTGCCAATCAACCCTTCTGTTGTCTGCTTTGCTTTAGCAACTGCACCTATGTCAGATGATCCTGAACCAAACAGCATGTGACCTTCATCATTACCAGGTGATCCTGGTAACTTAGAATCTGAAGGTCAGTCAGGATCATTATGCCAGCCTTATAATCAGCATTATGTACATCCATAATGATGAGTGCTTCTGCATTTTTAGCTTCACTGTCAGCCTCCTTTGTATTTTCAGATACTGAGTCCTTGTATTTTTCATCATTACATCCATATTCGAGTCTAACAGCTAAGCCAAGAAGCCAGTCAATTTCTTCCTGTTGATCTTGAATCTTGAAAGGAGAGCTAAAACCTGTGAGATACTTCTCAAAAAACATGGGCCAGTCACTACTGTGGATGTTGCTTAAATTACCATGACTTCAATCTTGTGGTATCTGGTTTTCTGGTTTGTAGGCCAAACAGTAAGTTTCTATATTGTGTTTCACCTTTGTAGATGAAGCCAGCAGGCTATAATAGTTGAGGGTCATCAGCTTGTCCCTCAACCTGGCTTCCTACTCTGGTCTCCTGGGCTTGGCTGAGAAGGCGAGGTGAGGATAAGACAGCCAAGCAAGAACTTCATAGACACATACTCCTTTAAGTCTATTCCAAGTTCTGTGGTCCAAACAGAGCTTTCTCTTGTGGATCTTAGGAAGCTCATATCACAATGGTCTGTTCTTGTCTCATGGTTAATATACATTTACAGTAAAACAAAGTGTTTTGGAAAAGTTAAAAATGTGACAGCAGGAAAATGTCATAATGGATATGGAAGATAAAGCAACATAGTACAACAAAAGTATCTATGATGGAGGACTCAAATGTTGGAAAATTTTCACTTTCAGATGATG